CTCATCCATGGAGACTATTATAGGAGCCTCTGTAGGTAGACGAGATGTTTGCAGGATCTGATGTAAAGGTCACAAAGCAGAAACAGATCTTGCTTCACATTTTTATACGGCTTTTTTTCTCTAAGCATTTTGTTTAACTGTCTTTATGTACTACATTATACCTCAGTTTTTATGAGGTATTATAATTTATGATTCTCTATTTTATTCTGAAGCTTACTTTGGGAAAATATAGTACTACCAGCTACTAACAGAAGAGGTCAGCAAACAATTAGCTCTTGAAACTTGGTAAATGGTAATATTTAAAGTGTTAAAATTGGTAAAGATAAACTTAGGAAATATTAAACTTGGTTTTGTCAGTGACAGTATTTTCAATATGAAGTTGACAGTCCCTAAGAGTATCAATGAGCACTTTCTAATAAAATTCATTAAACAACCCTTCAACCTGCCTTCTTGTCAGCTTCAGTTATTCACCTTTTTAAAAGCTAGTAGGGAAGGGGGAGGTGCTGTTGGGTCATGCTACTGAAAATTTAAATGAGTTTGTTTGCTATTTTGAGTATTGTTTGAAACTACTTTATTTTTTCAGGTTACATTTCGGACAAGAATCTATCATTGTAATATTAACAGTCAAGGTGTTATTTGCTTGGACATATTGAAAGATAATTGGAGTCCAGCACTAACCATTTCTAAAGTCCTCCTTTCTATCTGCTCACTTCTTACAGATTGTAATCCTGGTAAGGTTAATAATTCTTTACTTTGTTTTGTTTCCCCACTTGAAAAATACTTTTCTGTATAAACTAAGATTTTCTAAAGAGAAATTTTGTATTTTGTAGGTCAAAGGATAAAACTATATAGATTTAGTCAAGGGAAGTTAAGAACTCTAGTTGAAACATGCAACTTTACCATTAGTTGATACAGTCTAGAAACAATGTATTTTAAATTGAAGATTTACATAAGTTTGCCCTAGGTTTTTACATTTATAGTGATTTTATTTTCCCTCATCTTATAAAACAAAGGATATACATCTAAATGTTATCATCTGCCTGCCTAACCTCACCTGTCCCTTGCTTTCATTGGCACTTGCCTAGAAACTGGTTACTAAGATGTTAACCAATGTTGAAAATGTTGTCATATGAACACAGCTGGATGGTCATTGTGATTCAGAGTCTTGATTCAGTCTCTCTCGAACTTAGCCTAACTGATGAACTCTCATTGGGTGTTGGGAGAGAAATAGAATGAACTAGGGAGAAAAGGCCAGATCATTACTAAAGCCTGAGTATTCTATTTTGGTAAGAATCCTTCCTCCAATTCCTATGCTGTTTTTTTCTAAGTTTAAAAGGGGCAAAAAAACAAAACAAAAAACCAAAAAAAACCCAGCATGGTGGAGTGGTATTTCAGAGATTGGTTTGATCATACATACTTTGTTGTACATTCTACTCAAGTTTTCACTAATTTATTTCCTAAAGTTTAAAATGTTCTTTTCCTTTCTATAATGTAATCTACATTCTTTTCTTACAGCTGACCCGTTGGTAGGAAGTATTGCCACTCAGTATATGACCAACAGAGCAGAACATGACAGAATGGCCAGACAGTGGACCAAGAGATATGCTACATAAATTGGGTTTTCACATTCTTAGATTATTTGTCTGTCACAGAAGAGAGCTGCTTATGATTTTGAAGGGGTGGGGGAGGGTGGGAGTTGGTAAAGAGTAGGGTATTTCTATAACAGATATTATTCAGTCTTACTTCCTAAGATTTGGTTGTAACTTAAGGTATCTTACTACAGTAGACAGAATTGGTAATAGCAACTTTTAAAATCGTTATTAGTTCTGCAATATTAGCTGAAATGTAGTACAGAAAAGAATGTACATTTAGATACTTGGGTTCAGTTGCTTGTAGTCTGTAAATTTAAAACAGCTTAATTTTGTACAGGTTACACACATGCCATTTATGTAAAGTTTCTCTAAGACTACATACTTTTTTTTTTTTTTTTTTTTTTTTTTTTTTTTTTTTTTAAGGAATTTGTTTCCCTTTCTTGGAAGGGAACATTGATATTTAACAATTTTTAGAGACTGTCATCTCATATATATAAAATGGACACATGGCTATAAGACAACATATAGGAAATGAGTAGTTAATGTATTTTATTTTATATGCCAATCTACTTTATTGTTAAAAGATTAAAGGTTGAATCAGGACTTGTGGAAACCTGTAGTGAAATACCTTAAGCTGTTAACTGTAACGCGTGGAATAGGAATTGCTCAGTGGATTGGTTGTATGTTGTGGACTACTTAAGTCTACATTTGTTACTGTGCTAATAAACAATATTAAAAACAACTGCCTGATGCTGCTGTGCTCATTTACTTTTGGTTGCATGTTGTATCTTCTAAAACTGATCTTTGCGGCTTGGTGCCTGTAGCTCAGGTGGCTAGAGCATCAGCCACATACCCCGGAGCTGGCAGGTTCAAATCCAGCTCGGTCCCACCAAACAACAATGACAACTACAACCAAAAAATAGCTGGGCATTGCAGCAGGCACCTGTAATCCCAGCTACTTGGGAGGCTGAGGCAAGAGGGTTGCCCAAGAGCCGGAGGTTGCTATGAGCTGTGACAGGATAGCACTCTACCCATGGTGACAGCTTAAGACTCTGTCTCAAAAGAAAAGAAAACCATTCTGGGTGGCGCCTGTGGCTCAGTGAATAGGGCGCTGGTCCCATATACTGAGGGTGGCAGGTTCGAACCCTACGCTGGCCAAATTGCAACAAAAAAACAGCCGAGCATTGTGGTGGGTGTCTATAGTCCTAGCTACTTGGGAGTCTGAGGCAATAGAATCACCTAAGCCCAAGAGCTGGAGATTACTATGAGCTGTGATGCCATGGGACTCTACTGAGGGCGACAAAATGAGACTCTTGTCTGTAAAAAGAAGCTAAACTGATCTTTGCTAAAACAACCTAAAATAATGCATATTTATTATTTTTGGAGAGAGACTCTTGCTCTGTTTGCCACACCTAAAGTGCTGTGGGATCGTCATAGCTCATCCTAATCAAGGGAGTCCTCCTTGCTTGAGCTTCATGAGTAGGTGGGACTACAAGCACAGGCCACCCCCATGCCTGGCTATTTTTCTATAGAGATGGAGTCTCACTCTAGCTCAGTTTGGTCTCGAACTTCAGCTCTTATTTATTTCACTGTGTCACCCTCAGTGGAGTTCTGTGGCATCATAGCTCACAGCAACTTCAAACTCTTAGGCTTAAGAGACTTGCCTCATCCTCCCAAGTAGGGGGGACTACAGGTGCCCACCACAATGCCCAACTATTTTTTGTTGCAGTTGTCATTGTTTGTTAGGCCCTGGGCCGGGTTTGAACCCACCTGCCCTGGTGTATGTGGCCAACACCCTAACCACTAAGCCATCAAACTTCAGCTTTTGACCTCAAGGGCCTTCTAGAGTGCTAGGATTACAGACCTTAAACCATCACACCTGGTCAATAATGCATATTTAATAAGTATACACTATTATTTATGTTAACATTGGTGCTTTAATTTATACAACTGAATAGATTTGAGGTGTCTTTAACCTTTTAAAAGGTTAAATAATCTAACCCAGGGTGGAGCTTGTGGCTCAGTAGGGCGCCGGCCCCATATACTGAGGGTGGCAGGTTCAAAACCGGCCCTGACCAAAAAAATAGCTGGGCATTGTGGTGGGCGCCTGTGATCCCAGCTATTTGGGAAGCTGAGGCAAGAGAATTGCCTAAACCCAGGAGTTGGAGGTTGCTGTGAGCAGTGTGACACCACCGCATTCTACCGAGGGTGATAAAATGAGACTCTTATCTCTACCCTACCCCCACCCCCTCAAAAATAGCCAGGCGTTGTGCCAGGTAACTGTAGTCCTAGCTACTTGGGAGGCTGAAGCAAGAGAATTGCTTAAGCCCAAGAGTTGGAGGTTGCTGTGAGCTGTGACGTCACGGCATTCTACTGAGGGCAACACAGCAAGACTCTTTCAAAAAAAAAATAATCTAACCTATCATGTTAAATTTACTAAGTGTAGAGTATAAATGTTTTAACATAATAACTAAGAAAATGAGGTGGAGAAAAGAAACTTACAAAGATTTCAAAAATGGGCTGGGTGTGGTGGTTCACTCCTGTAATCCTAGCACTCTGGAAGGCCAAAGTAGGAGGATTCTTTGAGCTCAGGAGTTCGAGACCAGCCTGAGCAAGAGCAAAATGCAGTCTCTACTAAAAATACAAAAATTAGCCAAACATTGTGACAGAGGCCTGTAGTCCCAGATACTCAGGAGTCTGAGGCAGAGGTGTTTGAACCCAGGTGTTTTGAGATTACGGTGACAGAGACTATCTCCAAAAAAGGGAAGAAAAACTATCAATTTCCTAAATACAGTTAGACACATTGTTCAGATATTGCCAAAGTCTTTAAAGAGCCATAGCACAAACTGAGATAACTAATATTAAGATCACCTGTAGCCCAATATTTTTATGATATATCTTACTGCACATGACTAGGTTATCTAAAAAGCTATTCCAGAAGACAACAGTATTCCCTCAGGAAAATAAAAGCTTTACTGTCCTTAAGTGCTTAGCCATTTTCAAACAGAAGAAACAGTTTGCCCTGGTTTAGCAATGTCTAGCTGGAAAAAAAAGGCCTTTGAATGTAAGGAGCCTACTCAGACCACCTAGGTCCACAAGTCATTCTAAACTTTATAATTTGGGCAAACCAAAATCACAAGGTTGGGTTTAGGGCGGTGCCTGTGGCTCAAAGGAATAAGGTGCTGGCTTCATATGCCAGAGGTGGTGGGTTCAAACTCAGCCCCAGCCAAAAACTGCAGAAAAAACAAGTTTGGGTTTAATAGAATGTCTGTGACATAAAATTTAGCTTACTTAGCACCCAAATTGTTCAGTGTTTTTAGTCCAGTTTTATCACAAAATTTAAGTTTTATAATACTAGACATTAGATGACCAATGGACTTTTTCAAACAGTTATATTTGAGCCAAGGAGTTTGCATTAAGTTATACAATAGGAGAGCTTCTGAACAGCTTGCAGTCAGGGAGAAGATACACATAGGTGCATTTGCATACTAACCAAACTTTATTTTAATGTTCCAACAAGTGCAGCAAATAACAAAGGGGCTAATTTCAGGGACAGGTTTCAAAGGATGAGAATGAAAATGTATCAGGCAATAATAAACTTAGCCCAAATAATTTAATCATAACTTCTAACATGCATGTACTTCCTTTACGTTTTTTTTAGAGAACAAAGGTAGACAGAAATTGCCTATTTTAATTATCAGTCTTATTTCATGTTCACAGACCCAGAATCACTATTCAACAATTGTGGAATTACAGATTTTTAGTTCTCAGAGCTAGAGTTCCCTTTGTTTTTCCTCCCAGGCAAAGGAAAGCTTGATTTGCTCTGAGGTTGGGAAAGTTTACTGGCCAGTAAAGTGAACGGTTCAATCAGAGTCTTCCGGTCTGTAACAGTTACCTCCCACAGTCTCACTTTCTCGCTTTTTGCCCATTGCTGTGCCACTTCAGCATCCACTTGTCTCTGCTCAGAAAGGTCAATTTTGTTTCCTAATACGACTATTGCTACCTAAAAGAAAACATTGAAAAAGATAATTTTTACTTTGTCAACATCAGTTCCTAGGCAAAATGGAGAAATTAGGAAAACTTCCATTTAACAAACTGTTTCATTAAATTGATTTGTTAGATGTCACCAGAATGGTAAGCTAGTATGACGTTCTCTCTTTCCTTAGTCCATTTTTATTAAAAATACAGATGCTCTACAGTTGACAACCTTAAAAAAATTTAGATTAGCAAGTGAAGGTATGAATAGTAGACTTTAAGTTGAGCTCCCTATGCTCCAGGTAAGGCCACACCTTGCTGGCAAGATGTAAGAGTAGGTTTTCCTGGTAAATCTCAGTATTCCATTACCGCAGAGGCCATCCCCTTCAAGTTCTACTGCCATCTTCATCATCCAGATTTCCATCTTCATGTGTACCTCCTACTCTGACTTCCATCTCTCCTCCCAACTGCAGAAACTTGCTTCTACCCCCTAGAAATCGGCAAAATTCCCCCCTCCATTCCTATGCCTCTCTGCTTTTGAGTGTTCCCTTCACTCTCTTTCCCACATGAAACCTGGCTCAGCCTTGGAGTCCTGCTTTCCCCATCTCTCCCCTCCTACCACTACCACTGGGAAGGGGAGGAGGGTAGTGTTAAGTTGTCTTCATTGTGCCTCAAATGTTGCCTCCAACAGTGTCCTTTCTTGAAACACCCATGGAAGGCTGGTGCTACCAATCTGCTGTTACCTACTAACTGCCCCTTCCCCACCCTCTGGTCATAATTCCTAATGATTTCTCCAGCCATCAGAGGGGGCCCAAACATTTTTTTTCTTGCTGCATATTGGAAGAAGAGATGTCTTGGGCCACACATTAAATACTGGCTGGGTGTAATGGCTCATGCTTGTAATCCCAGCACTCTGGAAGGTTGAGGTAGGTGGATCACCTTAGCTCAGGAGTTCGAGACCAGCCTGAGCAAGAGCGAGACCCCATCTCTACTAAAAATGGAAAAACCTGGCTCGGCACCTATAGCTCAACCAGCTAAGGCGCCAGCCACGTACACCTAAGGTGGCGGGTTCGAATCCCCAGCCTGGACCCGCCAAACAACAATGACGGCTGCAACCAAAAAATAGCCGGGCGTTGTGGCGGGCGCCTGTGGTCCCAGCTACTTGGGAGGCGGAGGCAGGAGACTCGCTTGAGCCCAGGAGTTGGAGGTTGCTGTGAGCTGTAATGCCACAGCACGCTACCCAGGGGGAGAGCTTGAGGCTCTGTCTCAAAAAAAAAAAAGGAAAAACTAGCGGGGTACTGTGGTGGGGGTGCCTGTAGTCCCAGCTACTTGGGAGGCAAGAGGATCTCCTGAGCCCAAGAGTTTGAGGTTGCTGTGAGTTATGATGACATCACAGTATTCTACCCAAGGCAACAGCAGAAAACTGTCTCAAAAAATACTCAGACACTAACAAAAGATGATTAGCAAGAAAGAAAAGTCTATGCATGCTTTTTATCTGAAAAGGGCCTCATAAGACCAGCATTCAGTTTGCATATGGCAGGTTGGACACCCCAGATAAATAGATGAACATTCCAGTGACTTGACCTCTTTGTTGTTGTTGTAGAAACAGTCTCATTTTGTTGCCTAGAGTGCTATGGTGTCACAGCTCGGCAGCAACCTTAGACTCCTGGGCTCAAGCAGTTTTTTTTTTTTTTTTTTTGTAGAGACAGTGTCTCACTTTGTCGTCCTCGGTAGAGTGCCATGGCTTCACCCAGCTCACAGCAACCTCCAGCTCCTGGGCTTAGGCAATTCTTTTGCCTCAGCCCCCCAAGTAGCTGGAACCACAGGTGCCCGCCACAACGCCCAGCTGTATTTTGTTGCAATTTGGCTGGGGCCAGGTTCAAACCCACCACCCTTGGTATACGGGGCCAGTGCCCTACTCAGCCACAGGCGCCACCCTCAAGCAATTCTCTTGCCTCAGCCCCCAAGTAGCTGGGATTACAGGTGCCCGCCCCAATGCCCAGCTATTTTTAGAGGTGGAGGGGTGTGACTGTAGCTCAGGCTGGTCTCGAACTGGTGAGTTCAGGCAACCTGCCTGCCCCAGCCTCCTAGAGTGCTTGGATTACAGGCGTGAGCCACTGCACCTGGCCTCTGCTCTCATTTCTTGACTTCTCCACTGATCTTATCTTTTCCTCAGCCATTCTCTCCCATGGTTGTATCCTAGATCTGACATGCATTATAACTGCTCCCCTCTCTGACTTCAATTCCAAGCATCCCACTCTCTCTTCTACCTTCCTGGTCACAATTCTAAATGCCACAAGGACATAGGCCACATTGACCCTACTGCCTTTACCACTATCCTTCTACCCCACTCATGTCCTCAGTTTCTTTTGATGCACCTTATTTTTCATTACTGTGCCCTCATTATCCCACTATATTTACCTGGCAAACACCTCTTTTGTTAAATTTAACTCAGTCACACTGTGTGCCTACACACACCCCTACTGGCTGGTCCCAATTCATACCACTGACCTCAAATGAGCTGGTGGTCTCCAGCAAATACATTTTCTCCATCTAATATTTTGGCTTTTTTCTTTTTTTGAGACAGAGCCTCAAGCTGTCACCCTGGGTAGAGTGCAGTGGCATCACAGCTCACAGCAACCTCCAACTCCTGGGCTTAAGTGATTCTCCTGCTTCTGCCTTCCAATAGCTGGGACCACAGGCGCCTGCCAGAACACCTGGCCATTTTTTGGTTGCAGCTGTCATTGTTGTTTGGCGGGCCTAGGCCATAATTCGAACCTGCCAGCTCAGGTGTACGTGGCTGGCGCCTTAGCTGCTTGAGCCACAGGCACCGAGCCAGTATTTTGGCTCTTTTCTACAAGCTCCGACATCTCTTCCTTTCCCGATGACCACACTATTTCAGTATGAAAACAAGCAATTATGGCCAGGTATGCTGGCTCATGTAATCTTATTAGCACTCTACAGGAGGCAGAGATGGATCTCTTGAGCTCAGGAGTTTGAGACCAGCCTGAGCAAAGAAAGATAGAAAAACTAGCCATGGCGCCTGTAGTCCCAGCTACTCTGGAGGGTAAGACAGGAGGACCACTGAACCTAAGGACTTTGAAATTGCTGTGAGCCAGGTTCTTGCCACAGCACTCTAACCTGGACAACAGAGTGCGAATTTGTCTTCCAAAACAACAAACAAAAAAGTCTCAAGCAATTAGAATAGAACTTTACATGCTGCTTCTACATCCAACAACCTACCGAATTCCAAGCCATTTCCCTCTGCTATAGAACCCATCCTCTTTCACAGGGATAGGATACTATTCCCAACAGTTATCACATCTAAATAAAATTTCATTCTTTTCCAGCTCCTCTCTGTTCTCCTTTTATAGCAAAACTCAAAGAGATGGAATTGGAGGTTGCTATGAGCTATGACGCCACAGCACTCTACCCAGGGTGACAGCTTAATAAGACTGTCTCAGAAAAAAAAAAATCACCTTATCAGGAATGCTTTGTCAGATCACCCCACAGAAAATAATGCCCTTATTCCATCCTGCTTTACTTTTCTATGTAGCCTCATTATTTTTTTTGCAGTTTTTTGGTCAGGGCTGTGTTTGAACCCGCCACCTCTGGCATATGGGGCCAGTGCCCTCTTCCTTTGAGCCACAAGCACCGCCCCATAGCCTCATTCTTCATAATGTGTATTTGTTCATTAGCTCTCCCCTTTCTTCTCCCAAAATAGGGACAGGGACCCTTGTTTTGTATTACATTTTTTGCCCCTACAAAAATGCCTGTACACAGCATTTGCTGAGTCCAGGTATAGTGGCTCACGCCTGTAATCCTAGCACTCTGGGAGACTGAGGCTAGTGGATTGCTTGAGCTTAGGAGTTTTGAGACCAGCCTGAACAAGAGTAAGATCCCATCTCTAAAAAATAGCTGGGCTTTGGGGTGGTATCTGTCGCTTAGCTGGTAGGGCACTGAACCCATATACCAAAGGTGGCGGGTTCAAAACCAGCTCCAGCCAAACTACAAGAAAAATATAGCCAGACGTCGTGGCAGGCGCCTATAGTCCCAGCTACTCGGGAGGGTAAGGCAAGAGAATCGCCTAGGCCCAGGCGTTTGAGGTAGCTGTGAGTGACACCACGGCACTCTACTGAGGGTGATGAAGTGAGACTCTGTCTCTTAGGGGAAAAAAAAAATAGTTGGGGTTTGTGGTCGGCACCCGTAATCAGGAGGCTGAGGCAAGAGGACTGCTTGAACCCAGGGGTTTGAGGTTGCTGTGAGCTATGAGGCCAATGCACTCAGGACAACAGCTTGAGACTCTGTCTCAAAAAAAAAAATAATGGGCTCAGTGCCTGTGGCTCAAGTGGCTAAGACGCCAGCCACATACACGTAAGGTGGCGGGTTCGAATCCAGCCCGGACCCGCCAAACAACAATAATGGCTGCAACCAAAAAAAAAAAATAGCCAGGCATTGTGGCGGGCGCCTGTGGTCCCAGCTACTTGGGAAGCGGAGGCAGGAGACTCGCTTGAGCCCAGGAGTTGGAGGTTGGAGGCTGCTGTGAGCAGTGAAGTCATGGCACTCTACCCAGGGTGATAGCTTGAGGCTCTGTCTCAAAAAAAAAATAATAATGGCTCAGCACCTATAGCTCAACCAGCTAAGGCGCCAGCCACGTACACCTAAGGTGGCGGGTTCAAATCCCCAGCCCAGACCCGCCGCTGCAACCAAAAAATAGCCGGGCGTTGTGGCGGGCGCCTGTGGTCCCAGCTACTTGGGAGGCGGAGGCAGGAAACTCGCTTGAGCCCAGGAGTTGGAGGTTGCTGTGAGCTGTAATGCCATGGCACTCTGCCCAGGGGGACAGCTTGAGGCTCTGTCTCAAAAAATAAAAAATAAAAGCATTTGCTGAGTTAAGATGTGTCTTAAATCCCTACAATATAACATGAAGAAGGTATTATTATCCTTATTTTATAGATAAAGGAAACTGAGGCAAGAAAAGTCAAGAAGTCAAGATTTAAGTATCAAGTATATGGGTGTTCAACTATTATTTGAATTTTTGAGGGGCAGGGAGGGGAATCTAGAGGATACCCAAGAAAATAATTACAGCATTTATGTGTTTACGAGGGCAAGATGGAAAATCGGGAGGAGAAGAGCTGTCACTACTTTTCTTTATATATCTTTTTAAGGAAACTTGTGAATATTGTGTATATTCACAAAATATTCAAAATAATAAAAAATAACTTTTTTTTTCTTTTGAGACAGTCTCACTTTGTCACCCTTGGTAGAGTGCTGTGGCATCATAGCTCACAGCAACCTCAAACTGCTGGGCTTAAGAGATTCTCTTGCCTCAGCCTTGGCTATTTTTAGAGCACCCCACCTAAAATATCAATTTTTTTTAGTAAAGACAAGGTCTTGCTCTTGCTTAGGCTGCTGTCAAACTCCTGAGCTCAGGCAATCCACCCATCTTGGCCTCCCAAAGTTCTAGGATTATAGGCATGAGCCACTGTGGCCAGCCAGGAATAAACTATTGATACATGCAACAATTTGGCTGAATCTCCAGAGAATTATTCTGAGGTTTTTTTTTTTTTTTTTTTTTGGAGACAGAGTCTCACTGTGTCACCCTTGGTAGAATGCCGTGGTGTCACAGCTCACAGCAACCTCAAAATCTTGGGCTTAAGCAATTCTCTTGCCTCAGCCTCTCAAGTAGCTGAGACTACAGGTGCCCGCTACAATGCTTGGCTATTTTTTGGTTGTAGTTGTCATTTGTTGTTTGGCAGGCCCAGGCTGGGTTCAAACCCGCCAGCTCTAGTGTTTGTGGCTGGAGCCCTAGCTGCTGAGCTACAGGCACTGAGCCAATTACGCTGAGTTTTAAAGCCAATTCCAAAAGATTACACATACATAATTCCATTTATATAACACTCTTGAAATGATACAGTCACAGAAATGGAGAACAGATCAGTGGTTAGCAAGGTTAGTTAAAGAGGGGGCTGGGATAGAAGGGAAGTGGGGGCGGTTGTAAAAGGAGAAATTCTTGCGGTAGTGGAAATGTTCTGCGTCTTGACTAAATCAATGTAAATATCCTAGTTACGATTTCATAGTTTTAAAGATGGCAGCACTGAAGGAAACTGGGTAAAGGATCTCTTTGTAGTATTCTTAAAACATTGTGAACCCATAATTTTCTCAAAGTAAAAAGTTTAAAAACAACTCTTGTCTATACACACACACACAAATATGTAGGTTAAAACATGTAGCCAGTGCTGTTAACTAGTATATTATATGGGTCTCCAGATGATGAAATGATGAGGAGCCAGCCAAGTGAAGATCTGGAGAAAGATTTGAGATAAACAAGTTCCAGGCTGGGGAATAAGCGATTGAGAATACCTTAACAGAAAAATAAAATTGTCACAGTTGAAAAACAGAAAGTAGTCACTGAGCTGACTTGGCACTCACAGCTCAGTAGTTAGGTGGCTGGCAGGTTCAAACCCAGCCCGGGCCTGGTAAAAACAATGACAACCAAAAAAAAAAAATAGCTGGGTGTTGTGGTGGGCACCTGTAGTCCCAGCTAGTTGGGAGGCTGAGGCAAGAGAATCATCCAAGCCCAAGAGTTTGAGGTTGCTGTGAGATATAATACCATGGCACTCTACCAAGGATGACATAGGGAGACTCTGTCTCAAAAAAAAAAAGTCATTGAGAGAGGTGTAGAATGATAAAGACAGAAAAGATATGCATAAGCCAGGTCATCTAAGTCTTTACCACGGTAAGGCATGCTGGTCTTATTTTTAAGTGGTAAATGGTTAAATCCAATAGTTACTAAGTTTCCTTCTCTCTCTCTCTGTAAGGCTAAGAACAATAATCCTGTTTATTTAGCCAAGGAAAGAATGAAAAGCCCAAACAAACAGTGATCCCAAACAACATGCAATAAACTATGTCATAATAATACTTAAGATGTGGAATCACTGAATTCAAGTAAGCAATAGGCAGAAAAGTCAAATGGAGTCCTATATTTCCTAGGTTAGGAAAAAAAAATTATGACAGTTTTATAGGTATTGAGAATCCAATTTAATGATTTTACAATATTTAAACTGCCCAAAAGTTCATGCTATAATTTAAATGGTATAATTTACATTTGACATTTTCAATATACTCACTAACCTCTTTTTTATCTTTGAACTTATCAATTTCTTTCTTCAGAAGCTCCACTCTTTGAAAGGATTCAAGGTTATTCACACTGTACACAAGAACAAAGCCATCAGCAAATGAAAAATAATGCTTTGGCAGCTCCACACCTTCCTGTAGGCCTCTGGTGTCATAAAGATGTAACTGTTCCTTTACTCCTCGATCTGTTTCCACTGAAGCCATATAGACATCTTCCATTGTTTCACAGTCTACCATTCCTGGGATTAAAAAGAAATTACTTTTTGGATAAGCCAGTGTCAACTGTTTAGCATTTTCCTCTTGTCTTTTAGAAGGTGGCTTTCTAGGTTACCTATTTATCACATATAATAATCACATTTCTATTTATGAACTTACTGAAAATGAAAATCAGTTATCATAAATAAAGTTCTTTTTATTTGAGACAGTGTCACTATGGTCTCCACCTCCTGGGCTCAGTGAATTCTTTTTTTTTTTTTTTTTTTTTTTTTGAGACAGAGCCTCAAGTTGTCCCCCTGGGTCGAGTGCCGTGGCATCACAGCTCACAGCAACCTCCAACTCCTGGGCTCAAGTGAGTCTCCTGCCTCAACCTCCGAAGTAGCTGGGACCACAGGCGCCTCCCCCAACGCCCGGCTATTTTTTGGTTGCAGCCATCGTTGTTTTGGTGGGCCTGGGCTGGATTCGAACCCACCACCTTAGGTGTATGTCGCTGGCATCTTAGCCACTTGAGCCATAGGCACCGAGCCTTAGTGAATTCTTAAGTCAGTGATTCTGTGACTCCTAGACCACCATTTATTATGTAAATACAAAGGAAACCACATATATGTTATACAAAGCAATACATATCCATGTCTATCTGTTTCTTACCAGCTGAAGCAATCCACACTCCTTGGCTTCCCAAAGTGCTAAGATTACAGGTGTGAGCCACCTTGCCCAGCTTTTCTTACCTGTTGTAACTTATAGCAAGCATTCTTAAATTTCAATAACATCAAGATTTTTTTCTGTACTCTTATTTTCTTTCCTTTTTTTTTTTTTGTAGAGACAGCATCTCACTGTACAACCCTCTGTAGAGTGCTGTGCCATCACAGGTGACAGCAACCTCCAGTTCTTGGGCTTAGGCGATCTCTTGCCTTAGCCTCCCAAGTAGCTGGGACTATAGGCGCCCGCCACAACGCCCAGCTATTTCTTTTGTTGTTGCAGTTTGGCCAGGGCTGGGTTTGAACCCACCACCCTTGGTATATGTAGCCAGCAACCTACCCACTGAACCACAGGTGCTGCCTTTATTTTCCCCTCTTAATCTCTTGACTTCTGTGACTCTTTTGGTTCTTTTGAATTACACCTCACTTTTGTATACCATCAACCATCTTTAGTATATTATGACCAACAAAAGAAACCTTGGATAAGCCAATGTCAACTGTTAGCATTTTCCTCTTGTCTTTTAGAAGGTGGCTTTCTAGGTTACCTATTTATCACATATAATAATCACATTTCTATTTACGAACTTATTGAAAATGAAAATCAGTTATCCTAGAACCTAGAGCTAAACCAGAAAGAAAAAAAATCTTACCAATAGTATGATTCCCATAAAGGAGCTGCTCCAAAATTGCAGTTTTTCCAACAGATAATAATCCACAAACCACAACCTTGCAGCCCTTCCCCATCTTCTCTCAGGATTATCACTGTGGAGAAGATAGGTCTTTAAAAGGAGATGTAGAATAAGGTATATATCCTTCCAAACCCCATTTGCCAGTCTCCCTTTTTCTCACTTAGAGCAATCAGTTTTATCAGTTTCTTATATATCGTCACAGAGGCAATCTACATAAACACAACCAATGGATACAAATGAGTACATGTTTGTTTTCAAAAATAAGTCCATTTTATACAAAGTAAATTTCAATACTGATTATAGCAATGCAATAGACTTAGATTAATCCTTGAAAAAGAATGGCTACTCAATATTTACCTGGAAAAATAACATTTAAGTAAATAAAGGGATGAAGATACTTTTTTTTTTTTTTTTTTTTTGTAGAGACAGAGTCACTTTATTGCCCTCAGTGGAGTGCTGCGCTGTCACATAGCTCACAGCAACTTCCAACTCCTGGGCTTAGGCAATTCTCTTGCCTCAGCCTCCAGAGTAAATGGAACTACAGGCGCCCGTGACAACCCGGCTATTTTTTTGTTGCAGTTTGGCCAGGGCTTGGTTTGAACCCGCCACCCTTGGTATATAGGGCTGGCACCCTACCTATTGAGCCACAGGCGCCACCCAATTTTTTTTTTTTTTGTAGAGACAAGAGTTTCACTTTATGGCCCTCAGTAGAGTGCTGTGACATCACACAGTTCACAGCAACCTCCAACTCTTGGGCTTAGGCAATTCTCCTGTCTCAGCCTCCTGAGTAGCTGGGACTACAGGCGCCCACCACAACACCTGGCTATTTTTTAGTTGCAGTTTGGCCAGGGCCGGGTTTGAACCAGCCACCCTCAGTATATGGGGCCAGTGCCCTACCTACTGAGCCACAGGAGCTGCCTTTTTTTTTTTTTTTTAAAGGATGAAGGTCTTATGTTGCCTAGGACTTGAACTTCTGGGCTCAACTCCCACCTCATCATCCCAAGTAACTGGGACTACGGATATGCACCACTATGCCCAGCAAGGTAAAATTTTTAGGTAGAGAATGGACGTGTTTCTTTTTTTTAAAGACAGAGCCTCAAGGTGTCATCCTGGGTAGAGTGCTGTAGCGCCACAGCTCACAGCAACCTCAAATTCTTAGGCTTAAGGGATTGGATCCTCTTGCCTCAGCCTCCCAAGTAGCTGGGACTACAGGTGCCCGCCACAATGCCCAGCTATTTTTTGGTTGTAATTATTGTTTGGCAGGCCCGGGCTGGATTCCAACTTGCCAGCTCTGGTGTATGTGGCTGGCACGTTAACTGCTTGAGCTACAGGCGCCAAGCCAAGAGATTTTATTTGATCTTCATTTATTCTTTTTTGGGGGGGGGTTGCAGTTTTGTGCCGGGGCGGGGTTTGAACTCACCACCTCTGGTGTTTGGGACTGGCACCCTACTCCTTGGGCCATAGGCGCTGCCCCTACACTGCTTTTTGCTATCTCCCACACCTACTTCTTTCCCTCAATTCTATTCTTACCTAGAAATGAACATGCCATAACCTTAGCTATAAGGGATACCACAACTGTTCCAACTTCCTTGCCAAGAGATAAAGGCTTTGACATTCTACATTTACTTATGTAATAAACCCAACACAGAACACATCTTGTTTTCCTTTAGAGACAGGGCCGTGCTCTGGTTGGCCTGCTGGTATGCAGTAGTACAATCATAGCTCACTACAGCCTTAAACTCCTGGGTTCAAGTGATCCTCCCACCTCAGCCTCCTGAGTAACTGGGAGTACAGGCATGGCACCAACACACCAGCTAAATTTTTTTGAAAATTTTTTTGTAGAGATGGAGTCTTGTTCTACTAGCTAGGCGGGCTAGAACTCCTGGGCTCCAGCAATCTTCCTGCGTTGGCCTCCCAAAATTCTGGGATATAGTCATGTGCCACCTCACCTAACTCCCAATACAGAACACACATTAATGATGGGAGAATAGTTACATTTGTATGCATGTGTGTTACACAGAATTTTTTTTACCAATACTCACTGGGAAACATTAGGCAACTTTCCTCAAGGTCTTCTCTATTGTATTTTCAAAATCTGTATTTTTTCCTTTCTTTTTTTGAGACAGAATCTCAAGGTTGACCTGGGTAGAGTGCCGTGGCATCACAGTTCACAGCAACCCCCAATTCCTGGGCTCAAGCGATTCTCTTGCCTCCGCCTCCCAAGTAGCTGGGACTACTGGCGCCTGCCATGATGCTTGGCTATTTTTTGGTTGCAGCCATCATTGTCCTTTTGGTGGGCCACAGGCACTGAGCCTTTTTTTTTTTTTTGAGACAGTTTCATTATGTCACCCTCAGTAGACTGCTACAGTTCACATCAACCTTGAACTCTTGGGCTTAAGCAATTCTGTTGCCTCAGCCCCCCAAGTAACTGGGACTGCAGGTCACTGCCACAGTGCCCGGCTATTTTTTTGTTGCAGGTGTCATTGTTGTTTAGCTGGCCCAGGCTGGGTTTAAACCTGCCAGCCTGGGTATATGTGGCCGGCACCCTACCCACTGAGCTACAGGCACTGCCCCAAATCTATAATTTTTTACAGCCCAAATCACACATAACACTAATCTGCTAATGCAAAAAAAAAGTAATGCTACCATCTTTGTAGCACAGTAATAATACAGCACTCTTTTCCAGGGCAGTACACTGCATTTTACCAGTAGAAAAATAACCATCACTTATGTAACCCATATTTCCTGGATGGCACGCTTCAGATTCTTCTAAATCTTCTAAGAGTATCACTTGCTTTCATGAAAACCACTTTTCTTTTTTCTTTCTTTTTTTTTTTTTTGCAGTTTTTGGCCAGGGCTAGGCTTGAATCCACCACCTCTGGCATATAGAGCTGACGCCCTGCCCTTGGGCCACAGGCACAACCCCGAAAACCACTTTTCTTAAGGGAATTTCTTTTCTTAATATTTCAACATAACTGTAAATGACAAATTCTCCACCTTTATTTGTAAGGGCAGAGCTTTATGTAGCATTGATCATCTAGGATATGGTATCTCCTACGTCAGTAATTATGGCATATTTTAAAGGGTTTTCTACACATACCTCTGAGTTTACGAGTAATGTCACTTCACTTATAGGATTCTACTCTCTCTGCATACTGTGATTTCCTTGTAAATATGATACCACTGACTCTTTTAAAAGGTTTATAATAATTAACATTTAAAGGAAGTTGCTGTGTAGGTACGTGAGAAGAGTTTAAAAAAGAAATAAATCTGCCAGCAAATGGGGAAATTAATGGCACACAGCACAATTCTGTCAGAAAAGACTGTGGTTGGGATCTAAATTCTGATTTTTCTATTATTGTTTCCCTTCCTCTGCAAATGTCTTTAGCCCTAGTAGAATTTTTCTTTTCTTTTTTTTTTTTTTGCAGTTTTTGGCCGGACCCACCACCTCCTGTATATGGGACTCCCCCCCCCCCCCGTAGAATTTCTAAGTATCAATCCCTGCCCATCAAGAAGGAATGACTAAAAAAAAGAAAAAAGAAATTTGGCAGCGCCTGTGGCTCAGTAGGTAGGGCGCCTGCCCCATATACCAAGGGTGGTGGGTTCAAACCTGGCCCCGGCCAAACTGCAACAAAAAATAGCCTGGCGTTGTGGCGGGCACCTGTAGTCCCAGCTACTCGGGAGGCTGAGGCAAGAGAAT